GAGTGGGCCAGCTCTCAAGCCCTCTCCGGGTCCTCGTTGGAAAAGTGCCTTATGCAAATATGGCGAATGGGCTCTATTGTGAAGCCCCTGATATTAACAGCTCACGCAACAATGACGCTGTGTGCTTACTCTGGACCCGAAGGTGTGTGTGTGCGAGGGAGCGAGACAATGGCAGCGGCAGCGGCTTCAGCATGAAAAGACCCTTCATCGGATGCTTTGCCAAGTCATTTCAGCAGAATGGGCTGTTTCTCCGAGGGGCAGCGCCTCTCGGTGAAAGCTGTATTAACGACGGGAGCAAACAAACGCGTGCACTGTCTGGCTCTGGCACCGAGAGTGTCTGTTTATGCCGCGGCTGAATGGCTCGATTCACCGCGGTTGGAAATACTGACGGAACGGACAGAAAGGGCTTCACTCGTTGTCTTTGAAAGGCACTTCCGCTCTTAAAACATCACTGTCTCCGTTCTGAATGTGAAAATGTGTTCATGCCTCAGCTCCCTCTGATATTTCCGTCTCCCTCGGCGTGCCCACGTTGTTTACCCTTAACTCGCTCCCTTGGCTGAGCACAGCTCGACATCTAAAGATATCTGCAGGATCCAATTTGGAGAAGAAAAAAAAAACTTGGCAAATCCCCTGAGAAGTGTTGCAGCAGAGAGACGTAGTGATGGATGATGAAGAGGCCGGTGGCAGACGCACTCCTGACTCGACTAAACGTACAAATGGACGACGTCTGTAGCGTTCCTGCCGTCAACACAAAGCACCGACGGGACGGGACGGGGGGGGAACCGAGCGACGGATCAGACCACGGCAGTCCACCGCCCGGGTGGTCCGGGCAGAGTCAGAGTACACCTGTTACTGCCACGTTGCCAAACTTAATCTCCTTTGTCTGGGGAGACCCATTGACTTTTGCAACTTGGGGGGGTGGTGGAGGGAATAGCAGGATGTGGCCTTTTGCTCCGGCGCAACAACAAGACCTTTTTCCAAACCCCCATTGGTGTTTCCCGTCGATAAAAAGGCTGAGAAAAACAAAAAAGTGCGCAAGAATCACTGGGTCTCATTCAGGAAAGTGTCTGGCTGCTCGGACCCGACGGAGATGGAAGGGAGGCAAAGGGGCGCATTGTCCCTCGGTGACAAGTGGACAACCTCTATTGACTGGTGGGGAGGCGAGTAGGACCAGACCACAATGGATGTTCTTCTGTTTGACACTTGGAGTTTAAATCTGCGGCAAAGATAAACACCCCCCCCCCCCCTCCCCTGCATTCACACTCTCCTATTTCCAGCTCCGCCATGGGACGCCGAAAAACAGAGAGAGCAAAAGGCCCTACGGTGCTTCTTAGGAAGTCTCCCATCTCCGTGCCATTTTCCGGGAAGGCAGGAAGCTTGGCTCCGGGGCCCCCGTGTGACGTGCTACTGATATAACGGTATCAAAGTCCGTCCAAGACCCCCTAAGGAGGGAACTATCCCGCACCAAGAGCTCGGATATCTGTGGGGGCCAATCGTCGATCTATCGTCCAGAGTAACGGGTCAAAGCACTACGGAGTGCTCACCGTAGTACGAACAAGTCACGGGGAACCAGGCGCTCCTCAAAAGGTGATCCGTCACTCCCCTTCTCGGCCCTCGTTCCTCTCGCTCACCGAGAAGAGCCCGAAGCGCAAATGTCACTCAAATGCCACGCTGCAATGCAGTAGAACGGCACAACTGCAGCGCTGCTACGGGGTCGGCATTGCGAAGTGAGGTTGCCACACAGGCTTTTAGGGAATTTCACTTTGCTTCGGAGTAGCTGTTTAGAATTTGCACCATGTCAAGCTTTAATGTATCCAAACTCCAGGGCGATGCTTTAGCTGAGCCGTGTTGAGACAGCAAACCGCCATGACGAATACGTGTTACAAGTGGTTCACCGCTAGCCGCGTAGCTCTGAGGCCTCTGAGACCTTGGGGACAATCGTGAACGGTCTCTCTCAGCGGGAGCGACCCTCTGGCTTTGACGGGCCAAAAGGAAATCACACCTTCAATCAGCCATCACGGGCCTTGAGGTCGGAGATCTGATTGACCAATTACTCCTCACCATGAGCTCCAGCAAGGAACCCTAAGGCTGAGATTGTTCTCTTCTCGCTCATGGGTCTCGTCACCGGAGGCACTTTCTGCCTGATTGCCCCTGACCGCCCCCCCTCCTCTGGAGCCTAACAAGCACACACACAAGCAGCATTCAGCGAGGCCTTTTCCACATGGTGGCACCTCGCGGAATGAAGCTGTTCCACGGCCCATTCAGAACCAAGCCAACTGTCACGTCAAATCAAACAACGGCCGGGACCTAAATCAAACATCCTTTCATGCAAAAGGGAGAAAAGAAGAGGTGGGGAGGGGAGGGGGAGGGAAAAAAATCAACAACGGCAAACTTAACAAAACTGGCCTCAAACAAGGTCTTGTCTTTTCGCTTAGGTGGCGGCGGGGAGTCAGGAGGCCGGATTAACTGGGAGGCAGCGTTCTTAAGTCGGTTGGGACATATGTATAATTCATAACCCCGCATGTGGCTCCTGTCATATAAAAGGCCCGCGATTCTTCTGGCATTGCGTGTTCTCTTGATGCCAGAGATGCAACCAGCAGAGCCCAGAGAATAAAACGTTGACCAAACTGGGGAATCAAAACTGATTCGCTAACAGCGACTTGTTGAGCGACTTGTCAAAGTCCGCTGGCCCGAGGGAATCAGTGCGGCGCCTTTTCAGCGATGCCCCGTCACTCAGCCAGCCATGTGACGCTACGGCTGAGCCCCTGCATGCAGCCCCCCACACGCAAGGATCATGGGGCTTATTAGATTAAAAGTGATCCTGCTGCACCAACCGTACCGCCGTGGATCACTGCCGGTGGCTGCAGGGAGCTGTGGGCCATATGTTCTGCAATGGGTCACTTAGTTCTACCTGCCCACCGGCCGTGGTCTCACATATCCGAACGTTGATGGGTCGAAACCGCAGAAACAGGCGCACAGGGAGGTCGGGTGGGTGTGAAGGCCGTGTGGCCGTAGACGCGCTCACGCGTTACAAACAACGTACCTTCTGCAGCATCGGCGCCAGACTCCTGGTAAATGTCATCCGGGCTTTTTATTTTTTTTTTGCAGCTTGTGCCTTTGTGAGCTCGTTGTTGTTCGGTCGGAGGCGCGTTTTGGGGTCTTGATGCCTTTTCAGGAGTGTAATGGGATTCTTGTTACTTTCGGTTATCTAGCTTTATGAAGAATGTACATCACTCATACAGCTAGATAACCAAAGATAACAACCAACCCCTAAGGCTACCCATCCTCTCCGGCCCGGCGCCGCCGCCCGAGGTCGCACCTTCAAGCAGAGAACACAGTGGGTGAGACAATTGTCATTATGTCCTTTGATTTGACCTTTGACTAAATCAGAAGAGCGTTAACATGAAATAACAAAGTCTTGAAATCCCCCCCAAGAAATCACAGATGATGGCGACCCGGAACAAAGATGTTACTCTTCTGCCATTTCTTTTCTTCACTCAACCCACAGCGGCCCTTAAATGGCCCGGCCCCGTCACCATGAGGCCCCTCACCCCGCCTCAGACCTCCTCGGCCAATCACAAGCCTCCCTTTGTTCACAGAAAGCTTTGCTTGGTCAAAGCAAGGCCCCCCCATATCAAAAACTCCCCAAAGTCAAACAATTAGCGAGAGGCACCGATAGAGAAAATGACGCAAGTCGTCAGACTGGTCCAAACCGGCTGCGGCGCTCAACCCTCCCTTTCCCCCGGCCGGGCGCCCATCCCCGTGGTGCGCCCGCCTCGCCCGCTGACTGGCTCCATAGGAGGGTGATGGCTTCAAACGCCGGCCCCCCCGCCGTGGCCCAAATGCATTTTTAAATTAAAAGATCCCGGCTGTTTGACTACAAAAGAAACTGGTTTGTCTTCATTTACATTATCTGATGCCAAAGCAGCCGGGCCCGCGCTCAAGGGGGCGGAGCCAGAGCGAAGATAGAAGGGTTCAAGACTCCACGCAAACTCCTCGGAAATACACCAACAGGGACGTAACGCGGACACAGGAGCGCGTCTTCTATGAATCCTCCACGAGGACACAGGGAACAAACGGAGACTCCTTCCCGCGTTGGGCTGCAGCACGCGCTCGCTCACACGCTGCGGTGGCACATGGCACATGGCCCCTTCTAATTAAAGCTGCTCTGTGTGCCCAGATCCCCGTTGTCTCCCCCCACCAACACCGCCGCCAAGTAAAGCTCTGCTGCTGACAGCAGATGGACAGATACTGAGGGGAATGAGAGAGGGGGGGGGGGGGGCTCGGAAGGCCCCTTCAACACAAATCTGAACACTGCAACTACCAAGACATGACTGGCATCGTGCAGCCGTTAGCAGAGACGGCTACGTTAGCTGCAGCATTGTTCTCCCTCCAGGTTACAAACTGCTGCTTTTCTTCTTCTTCTCTCTGAATAGCAGTTTTAAAATTAAAAGGTGTTTTGTTGGCGTTCAGAAGGCTGTCAAATGTACCCTGATCTCCGTCAAGGTGCTTTGTTTCAGTCCACAAGGACAACGTGAGGCCTTCCCAGAGCAGAAACACGCCTCAGCTCCCAGAGAGCGACATAACACACACACACACACACACACACACACACACAAAGCTAATGTGGAAATGCTCACGCGTGTAGATGCATAACTGCAGACCATATCAAATAACGTGCACATAAGGATGCAAACACACAGATATGTGCAGCTGCAGTTGTGAAAGTGTAAAACCTCTCACAAATCTTTCCACTAATCGTTCTTCATAAATTGCTCCATAAGACGGAACAGCTGACAAAATATTTTTTTTGTTGGACACAAAATATTAAAATGCTTAATTAACTTGATCAATGATTTCAGTAATATTCGTATAGTCTTTTAAGTTACACTAATCACTTCAAAATTATTTTTTATTTGAAAATCGTAAAAAATGTAAATGAATTATTTCGTCAATTACTTTGATGTTGAAACTCATCATTAATTCATCGCAGTGTTATTTTAAACGGAAATGGTAGAATCTGCTTTCTAATCGCTGTGAGCTTTATGGCTCGTTTTCTCTTTTTTAGATCAGATGTATTTTCACGATTCCCAAGCTGGATAAAGAGAAAGATAATGACATGCAGATTGCACTTATTCACCCCGTCATCATTAATATTCCCTCCATTTAACAGCGGCTTTCATCGCGTTTCACGATGCGTTTCACCCGCAGGATTATTCGCGCTGACGTGGCTGCAGAAAAGTCACGTGGGCATTTTAAAGCGCTTCTGTTGTGTCAAAGTTTAAAACTCTTGCACCTGACTCACCTGAGCTGCGACACAAGGTTCTCTCTCCCCAAGTCGTCAGCAGGCCGCAGCTATTGGCCAGAGCGGGCGTGACGTCAACAAATCCGCCGCCACTAATTGGAAAAGTGCAAAGCTGATTAGCAAAAAAAAAGGAGTTTATTATGAAGTCGCATTGGTTATCATCTCATTAAAACCACGTGGTATAAAATAAACCGAGATATTTAATTTCACGCCATATTATAGAATTATTAGCTTGAATGCCGTGTTTCTAGGCAAAAAAAAGGCAATTACGCACGAGCTTCACGCACGACAGAGAATATTTTGCGCGTGTGTTTGAGAAACAACCAGAATCAGCGCGTGGGCCTGTGCATGGACACTGGGTCTGAAGAGCGCGTGCACACACGCAGGCGCACACACGCACACACTGAATGTTCACAGCCAATTAGCTGAAAACGGCGACATCTCTGCACACATTTTCCACACGTCATGAAGCTTCTGAACACCTCTGGTATGAATCGCATTGTCGACTTTATTAGCTTGTGTGCACCTGAATCACGTATCATGTCATTATTATCTATTCAATTAAATGATATTATTACCTCAAACTGCCCAACATATCCAACGTGACCGAACGGACGCGTGCGTGTGACCTGAGCTGGTTGCACGTGTTATCGGGCCTCTGAATGTCTCTGCAGGCATCCTGGGGAAAAGAGAGCATCCTTTTTTATTATTTTCCCTTTTACATTCTGTAAATTGTTGCTGCTGCCACAAGAAGTTTTATTTCGCGTGAAACAGGTGCGGAGCTGCAGACGGTTTTAATAAAGTTGAGGATCGTCTGACCGTCACATTGTGATTGTGATGATCCCTCTGAGACTCACTGCGCGGTACAAACCGCTCCCGCTCCGCTTGTGTGACAAATGATTTATTTAATTTCTAGTCATTTTTTATGTTAATAAAATAAGGAT